CCATATCCTCCTTGTCCAAGTTTATTAGCCATGCTGAAGTTGTTGGTAGCAACTACTATGCTTTCAAAATCAAACAAAGGTAGCTCCTGTGGCTCTCCTCTGTTTACAACGCTTCTCAAAGGAGATTCCAGCGAAGTGTCCCGAGGACTATACCTTCTAGCATCTGGATCAAAGTTTTCCGAGGTTCTGTTTTTTTTACCTGATTTTCCAGATTCAAGCAATGAATTCATCTATTCCAAGCCATGAAAGTAAAAGCATATAAGAAAATAACAAAAAGGAAAAGCTATTGTATTTAACAATGTTTTCCAAGAAGAAAGTGACATGGGTCTTACTCTTTTTAGTATTGAATTCCATCTTTTGTACACACAAGGAATTTTAGACAAGTTCCCTCTTGTCCTTAGAAATTGAGAAAGGATGGGTATAAATGCATTAATTTCATTTCTCATTAATCATTCAAGTGATTTGACATTTTACCCTCATGGCTTTTAGCTCAAAAGTCATAGATGAGCAATCAGTGGTTATCGGGCAATATTAAGTTAGGAATCTAATCATCCAGAAAATTATTTGCGAAATTGATCTATAGGACAATTGTTGTTTCCTTCAAATATCCTATAATTGTTATAGAAAAGAATCTCCACCAAATGACTAGTTCATTGTGGACCTTGCTTTGGCAGGACCAAAGTGAATGGCATTCTATCCAATAATTGAGTAAAACTTTCCATTTATACAAACCAAGTATCAAGATTCAAGATCAGTTTCTTACCAATTTTTTTTGTTCTCTGCCAGCATAAACCATAGACTAAGGCACCCAAGATGATGATACAAGAAACAGTTGTGAGGCTGATAATGAGATCTACTCTTAGCTTCCCATGAGCTGAAAACACTGATGGGGAACAACGAGCAGATAGAATAATGAAATGAATAAAGATGAATCAATCATCTGAAGTAAAAAGAAAAGAAGGGAGGAAAAAAACTAAAATCATTTTGAAAATATTGCTTAAGCCAGTAATATTGTCACCTAGTTCTGAGGATGCAAGACGAATGAAAAGCTCTTCCCCATCACTGGAGAACTCTTGCATATCCATAAGGTCATCAGTCCAGAACAGACAGCCTATGCCCTTTACATATGCATAAGCCTTGCAAGAACAGTTATTCAAGCACTGCTGTCCACAGTCGTTCACATCATTAACTTCTTGATACTTGGAATTATCTGGGAGCTTCATTCCACTCATTTTCCAAAACTTATCTGTTTCTGCTTCTTGTGCTGTTTTCTCACCAGTCCATGCCACACAACTACTTAATTCAGTTCGTCTAATGCACCCTCCTGTCCAGTTATTTTTGTTCCATTCCTCATCTGACTTTGGTACAAATCCTTTGAGACATCTACAAATAGGAAATTCAGATATTTTACAAACCCCAAAAGGTCCACAAGTTCCATAGACCTCACATGTATTATTTGGTCCTTTCCATATTGAATACCAGCCTGTGTCTTTCCCCCAAAACATCATCTTTAGAGATCCGTCGGATGAAATGACCAGAACTCTGTCCGAGGTGTTACTATTTATATAGAAATACCCAGTTCGTTGTTCATTATTCTGTACAAGGCTATATAAGCTTGAATATGTTGAATCCATAGCTGGGTAACCAATAAACTGTTGTTTATTCCACTCCCCGCTTCTCCAGTAAGGCACTGATCCATTCCAAGTAAAAGTTTGTGGTGGTGACCGCGGTACAATTTCAACAACAAAATCCCCAGGTGATGGATCACTATCGCTTTTCCAAGATGACAAGACACGTCTCTCACCTGTTTCAAGATCATATCCGAGACCTGCACCGGGTAATAAAGTATTACCTGGGTGCTCAAAGCTTTGCCATAACTCCTGTTCAGATGAACCATCACGTAGAACAAAGTTCCCATTATCCAAAAGGACAGCCACTGAACTATTTGATCGGACAGAAACATTGGTTGACCAGAGAGTTACTTCATTCCCATCTACAAGCTTCAGATTTCCGTCACTACCAATCTTTAGACTTGCCGTTGAATCAATAACTGGTTTCTCTTTGTTGGTCACCCAAACAACTGTGCGAGGAGCAATATTTTTATACCATATACCAACATACTGATTAGTGGAACTATCAGGACGAAAGAAGCCTAACTCAAAAACTTGGGCAGGGGAGATAAGGATTTCATTTTGTGATAATGGATTGGATGAAGTAATATTATAAATTGCAGCATAGCAGTGCAAAAGAAACAAGTTCAAAAGGATGAAGATGGAAGATAATAAAACGCTGAAGCGTTGGTTCACCGGCAGCATGTTTTTTGGGAAATTGTTTGTTGATAAGATCAGCGATATCAGGATTATTATGTAAAGGCAAGTAAACTCTGCAGCTGACTTTTTGGCTGCTTTGGGACACTCCTCTCCATCAGGCACCGCCATTTTGGACTCTCCACCGGCGGGACTACACTCTATCCTGATAGGGGATTCCATGGGAGGTAGTTTCCTCCGTTGCTAGTTTTTTCTTTACTGTTATTTTCTTAGTTACTCACTGATGTACCAAAAATAAAAAAAAGTTTCCTCCGTTGCTAGTTTTTTCTTTACTGTTATTTTCTTAGTTACTCACTGATGTACCAAAAAAAAAAAAAGTAAACAATTAATATATTAAAAAGAAAGTGTTTTAGGCACATTAAAAAGATTAAAAGAAAAATATTTTAAAATTATATTGATTTAATAAATTTATTAAAAAAGATTAAAATAATTTATCTTTTAAGAAAATGATATTGATTTAAATTTTTTTAATGTTTTATTAAAATAATATAATTTTAATTTTTTTAATTTTTTTAATAAATTTAATTGACAAATATTAATATTTTATTTCTTAATATATTTCATTTTATTTTAGAAAAAGGTCGTAAACTTTCAGCAGGTTAAAAAAAAGGTTAAATACCCTTTTTGGTCCCTCTACTATAGGAAAAAGCCCTTTTTTAGTCCCTGTACCAAAAAAATCCCCTTTTTGGTCCTTACTGTTCACAAATCCGGCCCCTTTTTAGTCCCTCCGTTAAATTTTAGATGACATGGCAGGTTAATTAACAGAAACACTCCTTTCTTTTTTTTATTAAATTACATGGATTTTTCACGTGGCAAAAATTGATGACATGTTAAATTTTTTACTTGTAATTACTGATATACCCTCGTCTTCTTCCCCGGCTTCTCCTTCCTCCAGCCTTTTTTTTCTTTTACCTCCAGGCAATCCCAGGAGCTTGGGTTCGCAAAACCTAAAAGGCAGCCATAACGAACAAACAAAATGAACCAACCAGTGTTAATATGAAGGAGAGAACAAACAAAATAAACCAACCAGCAGCCATAACGAACAAACAAAATGAACCAACCAGTGTTAGTATGAAGGAGAGAACAAACAAAATGAACCAACCAGTGTTAATATGAAGGAGAGAACAAACAAAATGAACCAACCAGTGTTAATATGAAGGAGAGAACAAACAAAATAAACCAACCAGTGTTAATATGAAGGAGAAAAAGGCTCCTGGGTGCGAACCCATGAGCTGGGTTCGCACCCAGGAGCCTGGGTTCCTTGCGAACCCTGCTCGTGGGTTCGCGAGTTGCGAACCCAGGCTCCTCGCGAACCCAGCTCTTGGGTTTGCGAGGTGCGAACCCAGGCTCCTGGGTGTGAACCCAGGCTTTTGGGTGTGAACCCAGGAGCTGGGTTCGCACACCCAGGAGCCTGGGTTCCTCGCGAACCCAACTCGTGGGTTCGCGAGGTGCGAACCCAGGCTCCTCGCGAACCCAACTCCTGGGTTCGCACCCAGGAGCCTGGGTTCCTCGTGAACCCAGCTCTTGGGTTCGCGAGGTGCAAACCCACGAGCTGGGTTCGCACACCCAGGAGCCTGGGTTCCTCGCGAATCCAACTCGTGGGTTTGCGAGGTGCGAACCCAGGCTCCTCGCGAACCCAGCTCCTGGGTTC